ACCCTTAAACACGTGTGTGCACACACACCCATGCCCTGTGAACACACAGGGTACACCTCTACCTGCAGGTTATTAATACTTACCTAAATCCTGCAAAGACACGTGCGCCCTTCTGCAAACTGACGGCCGCCTGATGTTTCTCTTGGCAGGTGGTCTACTTCACAGCCCTCTTCCCCTACCTCATCCTCATCATCCTGCTGGTGAGAGGCGCCACGCTGGAGGGGGCTATGGACGGCATCGAGTACTACATCGGGAGGCAGTCCAACTTCACCAAGCTGATGGAGGCGGAGGTGAGCCCCACGGCCGCCTTCGATCACTGGGATCCACCCGTCCATGCAACACCTCAAAGGGCACGGCAGCTCCGTGGTGTCATAAGAGCAGCTTGCTCCTTATAACCCTCCCACCTCCCCAAATCCTTATCTAAAATGATGCTAAACTTGCAGCAGCCCCTAGTTGTATGGGTGACCCGCGTCTTAAAAGCGCACCTTCCCCGGGACTTAGCTAAGGGATGAACGCGGGCTGGGGGTTTCTGGAGATCAGCAAGGGGAGGTGCTGGCTTGCCTATTCTTCAAGCCTTCGGTCCCTAAAACCAAGGTAACATTGCAGCTCCCGCGCAGGCCACAGCGAAGGGCACAGGACACGTAGTCACGGGTAAGTAGTGCAGTCACTGATGTAAAGCTGTTTGTGTTTTAGGTGTGGAAAGATGCAGCCACTCAGATCTTCTACTCCCTGTCCGTGGCTTGGGGCGGGCTGGTCGCTTTGTCCTCGTACAACAAATTTCACAACAACTGCTATTCCGATGCCATTTTTGTCTGCGTTACAAACTGCCTCACCAGCGTGTTTGCTGGGTTTGCAATATTCTCCATCTTGGGACACATGGCTTTCCGGGCGCAGAGACCCGTCTCAGAAGTGGTGGACTCAGGTAGGTTTGAAAGCCTCACCTGGTTTTCTCTGATTTTTAACACCTGATTTGTCCCGGCGGGTGCAGTCAGCGTGTGTCGGGATCAAGCACATCCAGCCCGTGATGGATTGAGATCAGGAGTGCACGCTGTCCTGGTCCTCTGACATTGGCTTCATGCTGTTCGGCACACGAGAGATGTGCAAAAGCTCCCGCACGAGTTTCACGTGCACTCACGGGTCTTTGTGCTTCTTAGCTGCTTCTGCAAGGCTCCGAGGAGATGGTTGGTAGTCAAATCTACGTGATTTCACCCGTAATCTCTTTCACAACAACTGCTATTCCGATGCTAAGCTTCATCTGATGCAATTTCCCTTTATGTAAGCGGGGATAATAAATGAGTTGGCTTAGCATTAAACACCTTAGACTAATTGTGCATCTTGCTCTCCTTCCTTTCAGGGTTCGATTTAGCATTTGTCGCCTATCCAGAGGCTCTCTCCCAGTTACCAGTTGCTCCCCTATGGTCCTTCTTGTTTTTCTTCATGCTTTTGCTCCTGGGTCTGGACTCTCAGTTTGCTACCATAGGTGAGTAGGAGTTAAAATAAAGAAATGCTTCCTTGGGAATGCTAATTGCATTTTGTCTGGTGTCCAACCTGTACAATTCTCTCTTCGCCTGCAGAAACCCTTACCACAACCGTACAAGATGCATGTCCCAAGGTGATGAAGAAGCTGCGAATTCCTATAACCCTGGGAGTGTGCGTAATCCTTTTTCTTCTCGGCCTTGTCTGCGTCACTCAGGTACGGCACCAACTCCTTCTCAGCGTTGGGTTTTGTGGTGCCTCAACCGGCGGGATAGTTTGTACTAGACCTTATAAACACTTTCCCAGTGCGACAATTAATTTGTGCAGCCTTGAACACCTACGTGCAGCACTGTAGGGATTGCAAGTGGCTATTGACTGCATCGTCTTGTTCAGAATTGATTACCCAACAGGACGGCTTTTTTGAACACTTATATTCCAGGCATAAAAAATAGAGAGCTGAAAGGCTTCTGTAGCTAGTTTGGCTGTCCCCTAAAAAGATATTTGTTATAATTTTCCAGTTCCTTAAATACATTTAAGTGGGTTTTTTTGAAGATGGACTGCGATGACCTCATCTGAAACCATAGGTTTATACGTGTCATTGCAATGAGAGGGTTGCTGCCACAAAAAGCAATAGCCCTAATGAACATGTTACGGTGTCATAGCTTCTCCTTTGCCAAGGGAGGTTTAGGATGGATATTAGGAAAAACTTTCTCACTAGGAGAGTGGTGAAGCACGGGAGCAGGTTACCCAGAGAGGTGGTGGAAATCTCCATCCTTGGAGGTGTTTCAGACCCAGGTAGACAAAGCCTTGGCTGGGATGATGGAGTTGGGGCCAGTCCTTTTTTGAGCAGGGGTTGGACTAGATGTGACTCCTGAGCTCCCTTCCACCCTCGTTGTCTATGATTATATGATTTTAACTGCCCCTCTGCTACTGCTATATCGCACTATTTGACACCAGCCATTCAATTCATCCACGTGAGGGTCAGGTGGGTCTTTTGTCCCTTTTTTTTTTCTCGGCCCAGGGGTATGCAATAGGGTGCAAGTGGCCTGCAGCTGATGCTGTTGCTCCCTGGGCCGGGGGCACAAAAGCTGATGTCCAAACCCCTGCGGGGCGCAGGTTGCTGTGAGGTGGTGGTGATTACAGCTGGTGGTGTAGCAAGCTCATTCAGTGCCCAGGATTTGGGCAAAAGGGGGTATGCTAACCACTGCAGAGCAGGGCAGTATTTGGGGAAAGAAATGCCCAGGTTCTCTGCCCGGGGACTGCAGATGCTGTTTTCCCCTCCATAGCAATGCTTCCCCGTGCGGAGAGAGGGCTCTCCCCGCCATAGCAATGCTTCCCCGTGCGGAGAGAGGGGGAGACCAGCCCAGCTGGGAGCCCCCTGGGCCCTGCGCGCTCCCCGGATATGCACCAAGGTGTCCGGCCAAGAGAAGCAGCAATTGTCAATAGAAACCTGCGCTCCGCTAGCACGTAGCCGCCGAGATCCTTTTATTTCCATAGACTAGGTTACCAGGAGGAGGTGAGATGTGACCTCTTCCTGTCTGCATTGCAGGCTGGAATCTATTGGGTTAACCTAGTGGATCACTACTGTGCTGGCTGGGGGATCCTGATCGCAGCCGTCCTGGAAATAATCGGCATCATCTGGATTTACGGTAAGGCATCTCCCCTGGGAAGCCAAGCGACGACTGTGCTAGCCAGCCCCGTCCTATCGCAGGCATTTCCACACTATGCCTGTGGGAAAACATCTCACACTATCCAAATGGGTAAAAATTTCCCTCCCTGATGAAAATGACCCCCTCCCTTCCCCTTCCTATGCCTTCTGCATATGGTGAACCCCAAGGGACAGCCGTCTGTCTCACGATGTGCCGTTTGGCCACCTTTCTACAGGAGGGAACAGATTCATTCAAGACGTGGAAATGATGATCGGGAAGAAGAGCTTCCTCTTCTGGCTGTGGTGGCGAGCGTGCTGGTTCGTCATCACGCCTCTCGTCTTGTCTGTGAGTGTCATCCCAGGCCGCGAATGCATGCAGCATCCGATAGCGGCCTGCTCCCGCTTCGGGGCTGGGTCCTTGGCCCCATGAGGCTGTTTGAAGGCCACATGGGGCTTTTGTGGTCATGGGAAATCCCAATGCCGTCCCATCCAGACTCGAGTCTGCTGTCTATCCCATCTTCCCAAAAGGAAGCCCCCATAAATACTCTCCTATCTGTTTCCATCCGCTGTTCAATGCATGAACTAGATTTTGCTTCTCTGATGCAATTCCCCTGACCGGTGGCCTGGGGCGACTTCACCCGCTGCAGTCGGAGACCCCGGTCCTTGGGCGTCCCGTCCTGTCGCCGTTCCCTCTCTGCCCTGTCGCGTGGATCTCATCTTTAATGCGCACACGGTGTTTTTTCTTTTAAAAAGCCTGCTATGCATCACTTTCTGGCAGCCACCCTCCGTCTAATCTCTCTAGGCGACAATGAAGGAAATGCTTAATATAAATGCCTGACGTGCAGGAACTCCTGATCTCAGCTCCTCCGTTCTTTCCCCATCTCCTGTATACATTGGACTAGTAGTATGCATACTCGGAGGTATTGAGTTGCTCTTGTCCATCTTCTGCATGTGCGTGCATGCACTGGACGTGGGGTCATTGCTAGAGCTGCTCTAGCAACATAGCGATGAAAAATCGCACCACATGTTGGCATGTGTGTCCATGCATGCTTACAGGCTAGTAGCAGCATGATGATCTGTATTACCTGACTGTATCTGGGGAAGAAAACTCTGAAAAGCAAGCCAGAGGCTCCTGGCAAAAAGCAAATGAGAAGGGTGCGGGAGTGGCAGGGGCCGTGCTGTAGCTGAGCTGGGAAGGAGTCCGCAGAGATCAGCCCCAGCTTGCAAACTCATTTATTTACCCGTGTCCTCTTTATTTGCAGGCCATTCTGGTCTGGTCGGTGGTCACGTTCTCAGCTCCCACGTACGGCATGGTGAAGTATCCTGCCTGGGGCAACGCTGTGGGCTGGTGCATGATCGCCTTCTGCATCATCTGGATTCCCATTTTTGCAGTCATCAAAGTCGCGAAAGCTAGAGGAAACCTGTGGCAGGTAAGGGGAGAGGGGGCTGAGAAAGTAAGAGCCTCAGTTGTTCTGTCTGCGGTCAGTCGTTGTCCAGGCCGTATCCTACTGCAGCGAACTGGTGCATCTGACTAAGACCTGATCCGTTGTCTCGCCCCGGGGCTTCGTGTAGGGCTCTGGCCCGTCAGACTGACAGTGTCAGTCAGGCTAGGTGCCGCTTTGGTATCTTGGCTGGCTCATTTAATTTTGGATAATAAAATTATAGGAAATGAGGGTGGAAGAGCGCTCAGGAGGTCACATCTAGTCCAACCCCTGCTCCAAGCAGGACCAGCCCCAGCTACGTCATCCCAGCCCAGGCCTTGTCTACTGGGTCTTCAAAACCTCCAAGGATGGAGACCCCACCACCTCTCTGGGTAGTTTATACCAGTGCTTTACTACCCTCCTCGTGAGAGAGTTTTTCCTAATATGCAACCTCAACTTGCCTTGCTGCAGCTTGAGCCCATTGCTCCTTGTCCTGTCATCTGCTCCCACTGAGACCAGTCCAGCTCCATCCTCTTTGGGATGCAATTAGTAAAGGACTGCCGTGTGCAAATGAACGGGACCATCACGGGTGCTTATGAATCAGATCCAAATCCATTGCTTGTATAGACTCAGACCTCTGAGTTTGGGGCAGGGGACGGGACGGGCGGTCATTATACTTCTCCCCGCTGTTCAAGGGGGACCTAAAATAAAACCCAGCCTTTAGAAGAGCAGGGAAATGCACAACCTGCGTCTAAGGCAGCGGTCACCCCATTTGGTGTCCCTTTGCTTTCCAGCGCATTGTAACCTGCCTGCGGCCAGCTCCAAACTGGGGGCCTTACCTGGAATCGCATCGAGGAGAACGATACAGCCACATGGTGGATCCCAAAAAGGAGAAGGACCATGAGATCCCGACGGTAGCGGGATACGTGCACAAGCCTCAGTGAGACGCCGAGTTCCTCCTGCAGATTTTTAACCTGAATAGGATTTTTTTAATGTTAGGAGCCAGTGATGCAAAAGAAGAGAGGAAGCCATAGTATTTATTATTAGCACTGAATGTTTGTGGAGCAACCGGTCATGGACCAGGGGCTGGACCCCAGGAGGGCAGCGAAGTGTGTCCCAGCCTCCCCGGGAAAGAGGGGCCGGGTATCCCCTACCCCGTCCTGTGGGGCGCGGCGCGCAGCTGGCCTGCAGATGTTGTTCCCGGCTGCAGGGGGGCTGGGGCAGATGGGGCTGTGCTGCGCACACCACAGCCCAGACACCCCTCCTGCCTGCTCCAGCACCTCTCAAGGGGTGCCTGGGCAGGCTGATGTCTGGCCACGTAGCCTGGGCACCGAGCATCATTTCCGCAGTAGCGGGGCCCAGGATTGGAGGCTGAGACAAACGCGTGTTTGTGGAGCTCACGTCTCTGATACAGAGCGGTGAGCAGCTGCCGAGCCCTGCGACGAGGGTACGATGCAGCAGAGTAGCTTTCTGCACATTTCTATCCGCTGGGATCACAAATGGGTCGCTGTCCTGTCGTACGAGCACAGTCGGGAGTCACCGACCTCGCGCAGCTGAGTAAAAGGCAGGGTAGATTTGCACCTTCTAGGCTAAGCAAAGTAGACCACTAGATGTATAAGTATGTATAGATCTATATAGCCATATATATACAGAGAGATCTACAGATAGATAGATATAGATATCTATATATAGATAGATATCTATCTCTATAGATATCTATCTATCTATCTATCTATAGATATATTCTATATTGATATAGTAGATAAAGAGATCTATAGATATCTATCTATCTATCTATCTATCTATAGATATATTCTATATTGATATAGTAGATAAAGAGATCTATAGATATCTATCTATAGATATAGAATATATCTATAGATAGATATCTATAGATCTCTTTCTCTATATATAGAGATCTATCTGTCTATCTAATGTATATGTATATGTTATTTCAGCTAATTTATAGTGTATATATATCTATATAGATATCTGTCTAGATAGATGGATAGTGTTCACGAGTCTATCGATCAATAGATAGATATCTATAGACAGATTGATATCTATATCAATTGATTGATTAATAGAGATCTATCTATCTAATATATAGATCCATGTAGATAATATAGCTATCCATATACAACACAAGCTTTGTGAGCTGAAGCTCACTTCACCCGATGCTGTGAAAGGCCGTGCACAGAGCGGTGTATAAGGGAATGCAAAATTTGCACACCAAAGCAGCGAGGGGGGCAGAGGGGAGTTGCGGGGAGAGTCTGGGAGCAGCAAACATAAGCAATAAAGCCTAGGACCACAGTATCTGATGAAGCGATCTGCCCGTGCAAGGTTGTGCTGTACGTGGATCTGTAACCACGGGTTCGCCTATAAGGTGTGAATTGACCCGGCCGTCTGCACGACTTCAGACCAGAATACAACTGATGGCATCTGTCTTGCAGCTAAACCTGGAGCCCTCTTGTCCCCCCCTGCACAGAGACGGCAGGGGAACGCGGTGCCCTGCGCCCCGCTCCCCTTCGTTCTCGTGGGGGACAAGAGTCCCTCCTCGTGCGCGGTCCCACCTGAGGGCCTAGGCCCCACTTCAAAAGAGGGCAGCAGGAGGGTCAAATCATGCTTGATATTAGACTGTCGTCCTCGCCTGCCCGCGCTCCCCGCTCCCCGCGCTCAAAGCTCAGGAGTGCGGCACCAGGAATCCTGAGGGTCATTTATAAATCCTGATGCTTTAAGTAAAAATCCTTGGAGAAAAAAGCCTTTTTGTTGGGTTGTCAGCATTTCTCTGTGGTCCTTGTCAGCTTTCCTTGGTATCGATCAAGGCCAGTAACTCCCGTCCCTTTCCGCATGAAGGCACGTGACTCCAGGGGCTGGGGATTTATGCCAAACAGCAAGTCTCGTGAGCGCTGAATTTGTCCATTCATGTGATTTTGGCTGTGAAGCGGCACGGTTTGTTTCCAAGGGACTTGGCCTCACGCAGGCTGCAACTTTACCGGCCACGAACACCTGCAATTTGGTGGTGCAGAATGGGATGGAGGATGTCTGCCCTGGTTTCGGGGAGCGGCGGGGGCCGCTGTATCTCTCCCCTTGTCGTTCTGGCTTCTTTGCAACAGCCTGGTGCAGATTTCCAGCTCGCTGCCCCACGCAGGTCTCTGTCTCTCCTAGCCCGGGTGGGGATCGCTGGCCGGGTGCTGGCTGTGCCGTACAAACAGAGGTTCATTTTATACTGGCATTTTTGTGATGAATTAGCAAATTCAGGAAAATAAAATGCAGAGTTTGTAACTTGTTGGGTTTCTTGGAACCGGGAACGTGAGGCAGCTTCTTGTCTCACCCGCTGTGCACGCTGTTGCGAATCTCGGTCGGGTTTTCTCTGGGCGCTGGGGCAAGAGGAGGGAATGGCCGCCCCGGGGCAGGGGTGCTGGGCACTGAGCTGAGGTCTGGCTGCAGCACAGAGGACCCGGACCCCAGCCTGGCCTGTGCCAGCAGGGCGGGACGGGGCTTGGCTGCGATGCCCTGGGACGGCAGGCAGCTGCCACCGTTAGCAATGAAGATCACCGTGGGAAAGGGCGATGCATCGCCCCAGGCTGCACTGGGAGGAAATCCTATTCAGACTGGCAGGGATCAGCGGGTGGGCTTTGGAGAAGGGCATGCTTGCTGCACTGGGGGTTGCACCTGAAGCTAGGGCTGCTCCGTGTCCACGCGCCCATCCCCGACGGCCCCCTTCTGCCAGGGGCATCCGGGAGAGCGGAGCAGGCTGCTCCAGCCCATCTCAGGGAAGATCTCCAGCCCCTGCCCTGGTGAGGGCCACAGCCCCTCGCTGCAATGCCTGGGGGAAGACAAGCCCTTCACGAGGCTCTAGAAACCCCCCAGCCGAGCCGTGAGGAGCCCCCATGTCTGCCCAGCCCCTGCCCCTCACCTGCTACAGTCACACAGACCAGTGCTGGAGCGATCCTATCTGCAGGGGGGCTGCTCTCCACAGAAGTGGGGTCTCCTACTCTTGCCAGCTCACCGGGGAAGGGCGGTGCAGTGTTAGTGTAGGGGCAGCTGAGCCCTGCAGCGGTAGCGCAGCACGAGCGGATGTGAGGGTGCAGGGCAACACTGCAGTGGGGGCAGTGTGCAGTGCAGTGTTAACATGGGGTGGGTATGAGCACACAGTGCAGTGTGAAGGCAGGGGCAGGTGTGTAGAGCAATGTTAGGATGGGGCAGCTGTGCAGTGCAGTGCTAACAGGGTGGATATGAGTGTGCAGTGCAGGGGTAGGTGTGTAGAGCAATGTTAGGATGGGGCAGCTGTGCAGTGCAGTGCCAACAGGGTGGATATGAGTGTGCAGTGGCAGTGCAGTGTTAAGGCAAGGGCAGGGGTGCAGTACAGCATTAGGATGGGGCAGGCATGCAGTGCAGTGTTAACAGGGTGGATATGAGCATACAGTGCAGTCTCAAGGTAGGGATAGGTATGCAGTGCAGTGTAGTTGGAGGGGAGGGCTGAACGTGCAAGGCAAGGCAGGTGAGCAGCGCAGTGGTAGCGCACGACGGGGGCAGTGAGCAGCGCACACTACCAGGCCCCCCACGAGCACTCTGCTGCACCGCTGCAAGCAAACACACCCTCTATTTAATTCACAATGTTCCGAATTTTTGTGAGATGCTTTTAAAGAGCACATTCACTTTGCTCCTCTGGGCTTTTCTCCTGCCTCCTCTTTCCATCCCATTTCTGGGGAACAAAAGGAGGAGCAGGAAGGGGGCAGAAAACCCTTTGGCTTTGTTTCCCTTTGGTTCGAATGCACCTGCTTTGGCTGGTTGCCTTGCCTGTCGGCCCGCTGCAATGACTGGGGGGTAAGAGTGTGAAGGCAAACTCGAACCAAAGCAAGTGGTGGCTGTTTTCTGGAGGCCGTTGCTAAACTTGGAGCCAAGAAGGAACCAAATGTGAACGCTACTTGTGCTCTGACAGTCACTATCCCGTCTTTTTCCCGTTCCTTCCCGGGCGCCGGGCGTGCAGCTGCCGCAGGCAGTAGAGGGCAGCCTCGGTTTGCTGCTGCATCTCTTTTCTCGGGCTACAAAGCACCGCTGCAGAGGGGCTGGCGAAGGCCCGGTACTCTATTCAGGAGTCTCCTAGCATCCTACTCCAGCAGGGATTCCCACCAGCTCCCCTCCCTGCGTTTACTTCCCACTGAAAGGGTCTCAGGAAGGTCTTTTGCAGCCGCAGTGCTTGGCTCTGAGCTGCTTTGCTGGGATGCTGGTACTGCTGACTCCTGTGCAACAGCGCCGTTGCTTCCCCAGTGTTACTGCCGAGCGATGTGAATGCAGCGGCGACGGGAATCAGCCCCGCTGCACTAATAGGGCATCTTCACACACAAAGGCGGGGTGTGAAAAGGGCACAGGACAATCTCGTTTAACTCCCCTACAACTTGGCCTGGCCTGCATGGCCTGGTACGCTGGTGGGCAGCGCTGCTGCGGCCGCCGCGTCTGGCGCAGAGCAGTCCAGGCTGGCAGGAGGTGGTTGGCTGGGACTGGTAGCAAGGAAGGAGTTATGAGGATGCTGTTTTCAATAGCACAGATGAAGGCTGAAAATGTTTTAGGACCGGTTCAGACTCTAAGCACTTCCAGTGCGGACGCGGGTGCCTGCAACAACTGTGTCGTTTTGCATTGCGTCCCGGCTGGCCCAGCAATGGGATGCAATCCTCCCAAAGCTGCCTGTGGAGCTGATTTGCTTCTGAAACATAAATGATGGCAGTGGCCAGGGTCCGACAGGCATTTCCTACCAGGTGGTAAAAGGCAAAGGATCGCCCTCAGGGATGATCTTAGGTGCAGCAATGCCTCTGTTCTGCTATGGGGATTTCCCAGGCTTCTGGGCTGTGCTGGTTGCCCCGTCCCCCCACTTTCTGCTACGTGTCGGGGGCTTTTCAGCCTTCCCAGAGGCATTGGGTATTGGCTGCAGCCCAGGATGGGGCTGGGGATGGGGACTGGGCTGTGCCAATGCTCCTGCTGGGACTCGAACCCTGGCTAGAGGGTCTTGCCCCGTCGCTCAGGGTCAACGAATGCCAGATCCGATGTCGGGAAGGAATCGTACCCCCAGATGGATATGGACTGGGGGGCTGTGCTTTCCTCTCTAGCAGTGGAGCATGGTCCTCTACCAGGGATCCCTTAAGCATATACCGATAGCGTTTCATAGAAGCAGGACGTTGGCTGCCGTGGTCCCCTGCTTTCCCTGTGACAGGTGCAGGTGATGTCTGGTGTTGTGTCAGGGCTGAGGGTCGTCTTATGTAGAGTTTGGATGATGGTTTTGGTTTGGACAGGGCTGATCCTGTCTCAGGCAGGAGGTTGGACTAGACGTACTTTCTGCAGGTCCCTTCCAGCCCCTACTTCTTTAGGATGCTATGACCATCAAACACTGGGTGGTATTTGGGTCAGATGGAAAACTTCACCCCCAAAATTCAGGCATTGCCACGCTCCGTTCATCTCCTTGTGAGCATCCACCCCCTTCGGACAACCCGGCATGCCTGGAGTCCCAGAGGATGTGGGAGTGTGAGGTCTGCAGGTTATGGGCATGAACAAAACGGTCCTGGTGGTGCCTTTCATGGGGAAAATGAACATAGGTGGCTATCTT